GGAATAGATGAAATAAATCAAAAAATGGATTTTTGTTCAAGAATGAAATCTTATTGGAACTGTCCATATTCGGGAACCAGTCAGCTTTGCCTTCCTTCTAACATAAAATATACGGAGAGAGGAATCGGCATAATAAAGTAGGCAGGATTTCTCCCCAAAAAAGAGAAGAATTCACCTTGCTTTCTTTTTGCTCCGCTCGTGCGTGGCACTCCTTGCCCGCGGAGCAGCATACCGATTAGTATTACACAGAAGAAATCAATTATAGACACTAATACAATTAGATCCGCTCTTCATAGACAAACTTGGGATTTGCGATGACTATGCGGCCCGCATAGTGATTATGCGATCGCATAATTGGCCGCATAGTTGACCTCAAATTTTCCATCACACTGCCTCACTTTGCTACGACTATGCTGTCTGCATACTATTCTGCGATCGCATAATGGACCGCAGAAATGCAATTTTCTGGAAAACATTATTCCTTCACTTTTTAATGCATAGATCAGTCCAAAAGGGTACGAATTTCTAACACGTATTCCTAACTTGGCACTACGAGCTCTCGAGTTTTGAGTAGAAATTTTCACGGGGCCTTACAGGTGTAGACACATAAACAGGAGAAATCAAAGAATCACGGGAGACTCCCAAATATGGAGCAAAATAAGAGGACACATAAGAATAAGTGGAGCCTGGATCAAATAAAACCGACGCATCTCTATGACAGACCGGAACAATACATGGAATGACAGAGTCGGAAGCAACTGCCTCTGTACGAGCCGGAAAAGCATAATATCTGGCCTGGCCTCCCCCTCTAGGGAGACCTCTACCTGCCAAACCTCCACCTCGAGCTGGCTGAGTAGGTGGAGTGGTAGCTGGTGCTGTAATCATAGCTTGGGGACCCGGTGGAGCACGTGGTGCCTGGGTAGTCTGTGAAGGTGCACCCCTCCTAAGTCTGGGGCAATCCCTCACCATGTGGTGAGTGTCGCCACACTCAAAATGAGATCTCGGAGGGCGTGGCTAATGTGGCTGGCTCGGGACAGGTCTACTGGACTAACTGCTGAAAGCACCTCGTGCAGGAGATGTACTAGACATTGGCGGTGCATAATAAGGCTCTTGGGGCCTAGGAGTAGCCAGAAAACCACTAGCGGCTGGAAGTACTGAATTAACAGGGCGACTCACATAGCCCCTACTATGACAAACTGCAGTTAGGGCACGACTACCACTATAAGTGCCAGACTCTAGAGACCTCTTGGCCTCCCTCTCCTCTCTCTCCCGAGCAAGCATACCCTCCAATCTCCTAGTAATACCCACAACCTGTTGGTATGCAATATCCATCTCCAACTATCGACGCTGCTGAGCCTGATACTAGGGTTGATCCCCTCGATAAACCGACAGACCCTCTCTCGAACTATAACAACCAAGGCTGGTGCATGCCTAGCCAAATCACTGAAGCGAACCACATACTCTGATGCAGTCATAGCACCCTGGCCCAACTGCTCAAACTATGCGCGCCTTGCATCTCTGAGACTCTAGGGAACATACTCCCTCAAGAGCATATCCGAGAACTGAGTCCAAGTAAGTGAAGCCGCCTTAGTCGGACTACCTAACTAATAAGCACGCCACCATTGATAGGCCGCTCCTCTAAGATGGAGCGTAGTAAAAGCTAGAACGTAGTGAAAGAAACCTCACTCGACTCCGCTACACCCATAGTATAGAGGATACGGTGAATCTCCTCAAAAAAACCTAGGCATCCTCTGACGACAGGACACAGAAAGTAGGAGGGTGGTACTTCTTGTACCTCTCGAGCCTGAGCTGCTCCTCGTCAAAATTTGTTGCCCTACCCTCGGGCCAAACTAGGGCTACCGGCTGCACTGGTATGACCTCTGGAACCGGGTCAAACTGAACCTGCTGCTCTGGGGTGCGGGCTGTGGGAGTCTGTGTTCCTTCCCCGACCTGAGATGAGGCTGGAGCAAGTGGGATCAACCCTGCTGAGCCAAAGTACCGAACATGCTCAGGAACTGTGCAAGGGTCTTCTAAAGAGTTGGTGCAGTAACAGGCGTCTCAGGTGCCTGCACTCCAAACTGGAGCTACTAGTGGCTCCTCTGTGGCAGCTCGTGCATGTGCTCTATCTGCACCACGTGGACATCCTCGGCCTCTACCCTAGCCCCGGCCTTTCGTGGCTCCAGCAGGGGGCACGGGTGCCTGGTCATCTGATCTAGCTGTATGTGTCCTTACCATATGTGAGAAAATAAAAGACAGAAGTTTAGGATTCCAAAATCATCAATTTTGCACGACAAGGAATCAAAGAAGTGAAATTTTCCTAACAGTTGCATAGCCTTCCGAAGATAAGTACAGACGTCTCCATATCGATCCGCGAGAATCTACTAATCTTGCTTGTAACTCGTGTACCTATGAACCTAGAGCTCTGATACAAACTTGTCACGATCCAAATCTCCCTGTGTAAGATGTCATGACGGCACCTAATCTGTACGACTAGGTAAGCCTAACAATTTTTGAAATCACGAAAATAAAAGAAGAATTTAACAACTAAATTTCAACAGATAACTATATAACTGATAAAATGCCGCTCTGCATATACAAGCAAACCAACGCTCGAGTATAAATAATATTCCCAAAACCTGATAGTCACCAGTAACAAGCTTCTAGGAGATAACTAAGTGCTCTATGCATCAGAGTCTAAGGAAATTACGGAAAGAAAACAACATACGAGGGAATAGAGGGGGACTCCGAGGCCTACGGACGGTGGCAGATATACCTTGAAGTCTCATTAGCAGCAGCAAATACTCTTAGCTAATAGCGGGGCTGTAGGAGGTACCTGGGTCTGCACACAAAATATGTGCATAAGAGTAGCATGAGTACACCACAACGGTAATCAGTAAGTGCCAAGCCTAACCTCGGTAGAATAGTGACGAGGTTAGGTCAGGGCCCTACTGGAATATAATAATTTAAGGCAGAAAAATAGAGCAATATAATAAGAGACCGGAAATTTAACAAGGAGAAGCTACAGAAGATAACGGCACAACACGTAGGGATAAACAACAAGGGCGCTCTCGAGATACCGTCTCGTAGTCCCAAAAGTATATCAAGGGGATCTCCCGAGGTACCGCCTCGTAGTCCCAAAAGTAAATGTGCAAGGGGATCTTCCGAGGTACCACCTCGTAGTCCCAAAAGTAAATATGCAAGGGGATCTCCCGAGGTACCGCCTCGTAATCCCAAAAGTAAACACACAGCTCGAAACCGATGGAAACAACAATTAACAGCAAGAACTATACAGCTTAAGACTGATGCAAATCAATGAAAAATTGGAATTCAACTAAGTATGTTGCACAGATTTCAAATAAGCATTTAAGATATGTAGACATGTGAGGCTAAACAGGATAACTACACATGTTGGTATAACTCAAATTAAGACGTAACAGGTTACTACTCAGTAAAAATTGGATTTTACAATAATTAGCCCGTGTACGCACTCGTCACCTTGCGTACACGGCGCTCACATATCACAGAAGTATCACAACAGTACCAAATCCTAAGGGAATTTCTCCCACACAAGGTTAGGCAATCCACTTACCTCAAACCAAGCTCAATCAATCAGTAAGAATGCCTTTTCCAGGCTTTCCGACTCTAAATGGCCCAAATCTAGCCAACAATTACATATCATAAATATAACTATAAGGAACCAACCTAATTAATTAAATGAAGACTTAAACAAGAAATTAGAAATTCGCCTCAAAAAGTCAACCTAGGCCCACGTCTCAGGATCGGGTAAAATTCAAAAAATATGAACACCCAATTAACCACGAGTTCACTCGTATCAAAATTACTTAAATACGATACCACAATCACAATCAAAACTCAAAAAATCGGTGGAAAAACTTTTCCACTTTTTCCCCAATTTTCTCAACCCAAATTCATAATTAAATGATGAAATTAAAAATAGATTAGTGGAATATAACCAAAAACGAATTAAGAATCATTATCCAATAGCTTCCTCTGAAAATCCCTCAAATTATCGCCTAAATCCGAGCTCTCAAAGTCCCAAAGTGAAAATGAGATCAAACCCTCGTAATTTCCCCTTTTCTGCCTAATGATTTCGCTTCTGCGAGGGGTTCACTGCATATGCGGTTCTTCACCTGCGAAAAAACATCGCAGGTGCGGACATCACTTAAGTCCACAAAATTTGCTTCTGCGAACAAGAGCCGCACCTACATGCCCGCGTCTGCGCTCTTCCTCCGTCCTGCGAGTCTGCTTCTGCAGAACTCTGACCGCACCTGCGATCTCTGCTGGGCAGGCCCAGATTTGCTTCTGCGGCTCAATGGCAGCTTCTGCGTGCCGCACATGCGGCCCAAATTGCGCAGGTGCGATTACACCTGGTGCAACAAACTTCAGCAATTCCAACACAACTCCAAATGATCCCTTAACCATTTGAAATCAACCCGAGGCCCCCGGGACCTCAACCAAATAGATCAAAAAGTCCTAAAAAATCATACAAACTTAGTCGAGCCTTAAAATCACATCAAGCAACGCTAAAAACACGAATCACAGTCCAGTTCAAACTCAATGAACTTTAAAACTTCAAACTTCTACAACCGATGCCGAAACCTATGAAAACACGTCTGATTGACCCCAATTTTGCACACAAGTCACATTTGACATTGCGGACCTATTCCAATTTTCGGAATCGGAATCCAACCCCATTGTAAACAAAGTCCACTCCCGGTCAAACTTCCCAAAAATTTAACTTTTGCTATTTCGAGCCTAATTCAGCTACGGACCTCCAAATCACTATCCGGACACGCTCCTACGTCCAAAATCACCCAGCAAAGCTAACGGAACCGACATAACTCTATTCCGGATTCGTCTTCACACAGTTCCAACTACAGTCAAATTCCTAGAACTTAAGCTTCCATTTTAGGGACTAAGTGTCCCATAACACTCCAAAACCAAAAACAAAATCTCCCGGCAAGTCACATAGGTATAAAATGATACAGGGGAAGGAGTATATAGGAGATTGGAGCTATTATTCTCAAAGCGACCGGTCCGATCGTTACAGTGCCTGCAAAAGGTTTCTATGGATAGGTGGAGTGGAAGTCTCAAAGAAGGAATTGATCGCTTGGGATAAGCTCTATATTCCAAAAGTAACTGGTGGTCTCAATATAATAGTTATTCAAGCCTGGAATAAGGCTGCAATATGCAAATTACTTTGGAATATATGCACCAAGAAGGACAAGCTATGGGTGAAGTGGATACATTGCTACTATGGGAAAAGAACCACTTTGTGGATGAACCAACCTAAGTAAGCATCTTGGATTGTCCAGAAGATCCTAAAAGCAGCTAAATACCTAAAAGAAGTGGGCCTACAGGTACAAGAAGATTCGAGAAGAGTACCCAAAATGCTCTCGGAGAAGACTAATATGCAACAATAACGGGGCTCCTAGATGGGTGTTCATATTGTATCTAAACTTACAAGGAAAACTGCGAACGAGGGATAGAATAGCCAAATGGAGTCAAATTGAAGATATGACATGCCCACTGTGTGCAAGCGGGCCTGAAACAGCTGATCATCTGTTCTTCGAATGTGCAGCGACATCACAAGTATGGGAGATGATATTGAAATTGCGGAGAATCATAAGGAGGGCTCAGGGATGGTCTGAAGAAGTCCTCTGGGCAGAGGTTTATGCAAATGGTCATTCAGCAATGTCTAATGTGTATAGGTTGCGCATGTCTGCTAGTGTTTATCATATAAGAACGGAAAGAAACTTGAGGTATTCCAAGGAAAAGCCAGGCAAATAGAGAGTATTATACGAGTGATAGCACAGGAGGTCATAGTCGTGGAAATATGAATAGGAAGTTAGCTGGGAAACTACAAGATATGAAATAATACCCTAGAGGTTGAGGATATCGTAACTTGTACTCCATAAAACATGCACCGGTAGTGTAGGAGGAATTTTTTTTATTTGAATCTAGGACTTGGGACATGATGTCCAAGTTCTTAGAATAGTTGCGCTGTAATGGTCTTTGGTTTGTGAAATGAAAAAATTTACTTACCAAAAAAAGAAGTTCACAAAATTGAAAATATGTCGACTGTCTTCACCTACTGATTTAGAATCAGTCAATTCAACTTCATGACTGTTAAGTCTCAACAACTATTTATAAAATAAATAAAAAAGGTTTCAACTGTAGTCCCTTATAAAGTGTTTGTAGCACTCATGGTAGAACCAAGGCGTCTGGAGCCATTCTTGTTCGGAGTAGGGGAAATTAAACGCGGCTTCTGTAAGTTGAAGCGGTGGTCTTTTGGAATGCTAATAGAAAAAGCTAAGCAAATTTAGGGAAGGGAGCAAGCAGCGGTAAACGAAGGTTTAAGGGCAGCGGATGTGATTATATATTTAGGAGCAGCGATATGGAATTATTATGGGCCGCAGCTGCATTTCCGTCCTTTTTTATTACAATTTTTATCATACATAACTTATATACAATTCATATATAGAATTCGGTCAAAAGCTATAATTTACATACAATTTGTATACAATTATGTTAATTGTATATATTTTGTATGTCGTTTCTACACCCGAAATGCAAAATATACATAATTTATTCACGTCTTGTTCTTCGAGTTTCAATATAAATTCCAACCAAAACCAACTCGAATCTTTACTAAATTCCCTAAAAATTGAAAAGTAGACTCCAAAAGAACTACCATGGAGTTTTGAGCGTACGCCATGATAGCAGAATCTGGAATCTTCAAAAATGGGTTCGCTAGGGTCTCAGGCTAAGCTATGGAGATGGAGCTTGAAACCATGTTACGACTAGCCCGATTAAATTATTTGTTTTCTTCAGTGAACCAAATCAAAATTTAGAGAGGATATCTGTACATAAAAGAAAAATAGTGAAAAACGAAGTCTAAAATGAATACGATTGACGTCTAATACACTATTTTGTATGCGGAAAAGGGCTAAACTGCCCTCAGACTATTCGCTTTGGTACAAATATACCCTCCGTCCACCTATTGAGCCAAAAAATATTGATAAGTTAATTTATTTAAAAAGATATTTTGGAATAGTATGTGGCTTCTTGCATGCGGTCATATGTCCATGTGGCAATATCTTCAGGGAAACTTAACCAATTGTCATGTTAAATAACAAGTGGCATATGTGTGGACAAAGTGTCCAGTACATTTTTCTTATTGTTAGCCCTCTTTAAAGCTTATATATATGCTCACATATATTTGCAAATATCAGTGGAAATATTTCCTTTCTTTCCTTTCCTTCTAACATGTTTTGGTTAGTTTGCTTTCCAACCAAAGCTTTACTAATCTCCATTAATCATTAGCTATTATTCCTTAACACCTAGCCACTGAAAAATATAAAAAACTTTATTCTTTCTTTGAAAAATTCCTATTCTAATTATTCCTTAGGATTTGCTAGTGTATTATTTAATTTTGTTGATTCATGTATCCTCTTAACTAGAGATAGGTTTGTTTAATCCTGGAGAAATATTTCACATTGCTGAAATAGTTTCTTAGGAAAGTGTCCAGCACGACTCAAGCCAATCCGTGTATCCGCTTACAAATTGTATGTGATAAAATCGGAGGGTCCAAATTTCGGCCATTACGACGATTCGTAAGCAAGCTTTCCAAAGGCTCGAGAGTACGGTCGAGATTTACACCCGAGGGGCCATCAATGTCCAGCCTCGACACAGTGCAATCCGACAGTTATGATAGAAAAGTGGGAAGTTCCCTAGCATACGACTAGACCCGACAAAGTCTAGTAGGCTAGCTTTGACCCGTATCACGACATTAAATGGTTGTATCAACCCCATATCTTTGTAATTAATGTATTTGTATTATGTTGGGATTCCCCCCTCATATATAATGGGGATCCTTGTCATTTTGTAGACATCTAATACTCAATATTCAATACAAGAACATTCTCCCTGCTCTCTAACACATTCTCTCCAACTCACTACTTCCATTTATTGCTTATATTCGTTGTGTTCTATTTATTGTTATTCATTTATTGTTTATCGTTGATCATAAAGAGCCATCACCGTCGCTCTCATAAAGTGTTAGTCCTCCCTCGATCGTTCTAAGCCGGTCGCCCAACTCGACCCCTTGGCCTTATAAACGACAGCTCGAAGCCCCCGATCTCCAACTGTTTGGTTCGATTATCATACTGTCTTTAAGTTGTAATCTTGATTTCTAGTCTTTAATTAGCATCCATTGCTTAACAACTAGCATAAAAATAGATGACGTATTTTTAGAACGACAAAATCAAATCTAATTGTAATTACCGTTTTCACGGTAAACAGTTTGGCGCCAACCGTGGGGCTAAAAATAATAGTGATTATTTTCTTGCTGGTTTGCTACATAACGCAAGTTATCTTTCACACTTTTCTTGTCCAAGATCTTTGATTTCAGGTCAAAATGTCTATCTCAGTAAACGCACGTGAAAACGTCAATCTTGAAGACCATGGGGAAACTGGTGTTGACGTCCCAGGTATTGGTATACCACCACGAAATCTTGAGAACGCACCAGAACCAATTCACGTGGACGTGGTCTCGTGCAATGCTTAACACGTCGAAATAAGCTCCCACACCCAAGGAGATTAACAAGAAGCTCAGAAAATCCCAACTAGGGAAGAACGAGAGGTTAGCCTTCACGTTATTTTTGAAATGTTACAGGCACAACAACTGGCAATCGCTCAGCTGCAAAGTCACCAGAAAACTCCCAGCACGGTAGCACCCGGGACGGCTCCCCTAGTCGAGCAGGTACCAGAGAGATCAAGCAACAACGGGTCGACAGTCGACCCCGCCATCATAAAGATGCTCGAGGACCTCACAAAGGGGATTGAGTCGGGCGAGAAGAAGATAGAAGCCAATGACAAAAAGGTCGAGACCTACAATTCCAGGGTCGACCAAATTCCGGGCGCACCCCCAATCCTGAAAGGTGTGGATTCAAAGAAGTTCGTACAAAAGCCATTCCCACAAGAAGCTGCTCTAAAATTCATCCCAAAGAAGTTCAAGATGCCCGACCTTCTGAAGTACAACGGAACCTCGGACCCCAATGAGCACGTCGCTGCTTACACTTGTCCGGTGAAAGGCAACGACCTAAGGGACGATGAGATCGAGTCCGTCATACTAAAAAAGTTCGGAGAAACACTTTCTAAAGTGGCAATGATGTGGTATCACAACCTGGCCCCAAACTCGATAGACTCATTTGCCATGCTGGCGGATTCTTTCATAAAGGCACATGCTGGTGCCATCAAAGTAGCAACGAGGAAATCCGACATCTTCAAGATCAAGTAGAGAGAGAATGAGACGCAGCGAGAGTTCATATATTTCTTTCAAATGGAACGAATGGAACTACCACCGGTATCCGACGACTGGGCAGCGTAAGCCTTCACTCAAGGCCTGAATGAACGAAGCTCGGTGGCTTCGAAACAGCTGAAGCAGAACCTAGTCGAATACCCGGCCATGACTTGGTCGGACATCCACAATCGATTCCAATCAAAGATCAGGGTCGAAGACGGCCAACTAGGAGCCCCTTCGGGCTCGGTATATCCTAGCAGGCTTCTGGCGAAGGAGCCAAAGCCAAACAAAGAAAGGTACCAGCCATACACCGAGGAAAGAAGAAACGCCCCGAGGCGTGACATACCCCGAAATGATTAAAGAACGGGTCAAGGGCAGAACCCTCGGGGACTCGTCAGCAGAGCCGGGTTCGATAGGCGCACGGGGTCGGCGGAGGCACCCCGCTTGTTGGAATACAACTTCAATGTTGATGTTTCGGACATCGTATTCGCCATCAGTAAAATCAGAGACACCAGGTGGCCAAGGCATGTACAATCAGATCCTTCGCAAAGAAATCATAACTTGGTGTGTGAACTCCACAACACGCACAGCCACAGAACCGAAGATTGCCATCAGCTCCGGGAAGAAGTAGCCCAACTACTGAGCAAAGGTCACCTCCGAGAATTCCTCAGCAACCAGGCTAAAAACTAGTTCCGGGAAAGAGAGGCGACCAAGAAGAACGAAAAAAATGAGCCACAACATGTCATCCACATGATATTGGGAGGCATCGATGCCCCACAGGAACCCGTGATCAGTAGGACAAAAATATCCATCATCAGAGAAAAGCGAACTCGAGTTTACATACCCGAGGATGCTCTCACATTCAGCGACGAGGACATCGAGACCTTGTCTCAACCCCACAATGACGCACTGGTAATCTCTTTCCTTGTGAATACATTTCAAATTAAACGTGTACTTGTGGATCCAGGTAGCTCTGCCAACATTATCAGGTCGAGGGTGGTAGAGCAGCTCGGGCTGCTTGACCAAATCGCGCCCGCCTCTCGAGTCCTCAACGGATTCAACATGGCGAGCAAAACAACAAAAGGGGAAATCACCCTTCCAGTCAACGTGGCTGGCAGAACCTAAAATGCCAAATTCCATGTCATCGAAGGAGACATGAGATACAATGCCTTGCTCGGAAGGCCATGGATACACTGCATGAGAGCAGTACCATCAACCCTTCATCAAATGATGAAGTTCCCAACAAAGGATGGCATAAAAACCGTCTACGGGGAATAACATGCGGCAAGAGAAATGTTCGCAGTACACGACATAACACCGACACCAGTACTCCACCTTCAAACGAGCCAAAGGATAAGCAAATAGCAAAATAGCGAAAACAAGCTACACCCTCGGCTAAATCCAACCGAACGAAGCAAAGGACCATATCGCGTCCTCTTAACAAACGATTGAATCACATCGAGATCTGAAGCACCGTCGGCAGTAA